GGGGGAGGGAGGGAGGGGAGAGGAGGGAGAGAGGGAGGGAGAAGGGAGGAGGGAGGGAGGGAGGGAGAGAGGGGGAGGGAGGGAGGGAGGGGGGAGGGAGGGAGGAAGACTGCCTATGGAATGATATGCAAAACTCTCTAGGGCCCTCCCTCCTTGTGTAAGAACGGGAGGAGGAAACCTTAGGACATGCAATTGCATTTGTTTGTATTTGCAGGAAAAAAAAATAGAAGAAACTGATAAAGCGGTTCCTCAGGAGCCGGTGGGGGGCAGAGGAACAGCATGGGAAGGGCATGGGCAGAGCTGGGAGAGAGACTTCCCCTACATACTCCTGCACGTCACTTGGATTTTTGAACTGCATGAATCCCTCTTCAAATAATTAGGTGTAATTTACCAAAAAAAAGGAGAGAAAGAAGGAAGAAAGGAAAGAAAACTGAAAATCTCTCCCCATAAGGCGGGGGAAGGATTCTTCCAGCTGCTGTTAGGTGAGGATCCGAGGGGGTGAGACCAGGACCCCGGAGCCCAGGGAGGCTAGGGAGGGAGGGAGAGCCCAGGGCGGCTGGGGCAGGAGAGATGGGCCAGGCTAGGGCAGGGCCAGGGTGAGGGGTGAAGAAGGAATCTGGAGCTGCTCAGGCAGACAGGTAAACAAAACGGGGTCACTGATGGGGGTGAGAGAGAAGCAGGGCTCCCCAGAGCCCCCATCTATTCATCTGCTACAGTCTCCTGCTCCTTCTCCATGTCCTGCTTCTTTCCGGCCTTCCCCGTGCTCCCCAAGAAGCCCGGCCTTGGATCTAGCTCCCCCCCCCAGTCCCCCCGGGCACAGGCTAGCAGCTCCTGGCCCTCACCTTGATGCCCTCAATCCGGAAGCCCAAGGTGGAGGTCGAGCTCACGGTCTCCCTCCATTGCATGTAGCGGGGCTTGGTGACGGCGCCCTGGGCGTGTTCCTCCGGGGTGGGGGCCCCGGGGTCCACGGCCACCATCTTCTCATACATGTCCTTCCGGGGCCGGGGCCTCTCTCGTGCCTTTACCAGCTCCTCCTCCAGGTAGGTCCTGACACAAAGAGAACGTGACCAGTGAAACCATGATGAGCAAAGGTGGAGGATGCATTCCCTGATACCAAGGCATGTTATAAAAGCACAGCATGGCCCAAGAACAAATAGATCGATGGACCAGAACAGAGTCTAAACACAGACACACACACACGTACATTCACCCAAATTATGATGACAAAGACCACCTAGCAATTCAGTGGAGAAAAGGAAGTTTTTTCAATAAATCGTGTCGAGTCAATAGGATAGCCATATGGGGGGTGGGGGGGAACAGGCTAAGGAACCTCAATCCCTACCTCACACCATATATAAAAATTAATTTTAGGGGCGCCTGGGTGGCTCAGTCAGTTGAACGTTTGACTTTGGCTCAGGTCATGATCTCACAGCTTGTGGGTTCGAGCCCCGCGTCGGGCTCTGTGCTGACAGCTCAGAGCCTGGAGCTTGCTTCCCATTCTGTGTCTTCCTCTCTCTGCCCCTTCCTCACTTGCTCTCTCTCCCTCTCTTGTTCTCTCTCACAAATAAATGAACAGGGGCGTTGAGTGGCTCAGTCGGTTAAGCGTCCAACTTCGGCTCAAGTCAAGATCTCACGGTTTGTGGGTTCAGGTCCCGCTTCGTGCTCTGTGCTGACAGCTCAGAACCTGGAGCTTGTCTAGGATGCTGTGTCTCCCCCTCTCTCTGCTCCTTCCCTACTCACGCTCTGTCTCTCTCTCTCTCTCTCTCAAAAATAAATAAATATTAATAAATACATAAACAAACATTAAAAATTAATTTTAGGTGGATTGCAAATTTAGATGTTAAAGTTAAACAAAGCTTGTAAAAGAAAACATAGGAGATCTGCACGATTTTGGCATAGGCAGATTTCTGAAAATCTGAAGATTTTCTGAAACACAAAGCTACCAATCACGATGAAAAAAATGACAAACTGTCCTAAATCAAAACTTCTTCTGTTTATCTGGGGCGCCTGGGTGGCTCAGTCGGTTAAGCATCCAACATCGGCTCAGGTCTGATCTCACTGTTTGTGGGTTCGAGCCCCGCGTCGGGCTCTGTGCTGACAGCTCAGAGCCTGGAGCTGCTTCAGATTCTGTGTCTCCCTCTCTCTCTGACCCTCTTCCTGCTCACACTCTCTCAAAAATGAATATACATTAAAAAAAATTAAAAAAAAAAACTTCTGTTTATCAAAAGCTACTATTAAGAGAGTGAAATGGGAAATCTGGACTGTGTGTGTGTGTGTGTGTGTGTGTGTGTGTGTGTGAGTGTCCAACAGAGGAATTGTAATCAGAATATATAAAGAATTACAAATCATAAAGAAAACGACAGACCAATAGAAAAATGGGCAGGGGCACCTGGGTGACTCAATTGGTTAGGCGTCCAACTCTTGATTTTGGCTCAGATCATGATCTCATGGATCATGAGTTCAAGTCCCACATCAGGGGGAAAGAAAGAGAGAGAAAGAAAGAGAGAAAGAGAGAAAGAGAGAAAGAGAGAAAGAGAGAAAGAGAGAAAGAGAGAAAGAAAGAAAGAAAGAAAGAAAGGAAGGAAGGAAGGAAGGAAGGAAGGAAGGAAAAGAAAAAGAACATTAGTAAAAATATTCAAAAAGGCACTTTCCCAAGAGGATTTCGAAATGGCCAACCAACTAACGCTCAATTTCTTTGGTCATCAGAGAAACAGAAATTAAAATCCTAAGTAGACACTCCCCAGAATGGTTAAAATTAGCCAAGGAGAGGATAAAACAACTGGAACCCTCACACACCGCTGTCCCTAGGCGTCTGCTCTGGGGCTGAACCCACCTGCTGCCCATCTTGCAGTCCATGATGGAGGGGCCCTCGAAATCCGCCAGGAGGTCTTCCATCTGGTTGAAGGCCTGGCCATCGCGCTGCACCATGCCGTAGTAGGCGGGCACGAAGGGGCGCAGCGGGTCGCTCATCAGCTGTTCCAGGCTGCGCTGCTCACACTGACAGAAACGCTTCAGGATCCGACCGTCCTCTCCTGCCTGGAAGTTCCCTGTGGGAGCACAGTCGACGAGAGGATCAGAGGCTGGAGCAGCCGGAGCCTCTCCTCATCTCCCGCATGCGTCGGATCCTGGCTGCCCTCACCTTGCCTCACCCCTTCTGGAAGGGCTTCTCTCCCTCCCTGCACCTCTCAAAGCCTTGGCCGGGACATGGCAAGGGAAGGGCCTACTGCGGCTCCTTGTTTCAACAGAGTCCTGTTCACAGCAGGCTGGGGCCTTGCTTGTTTTGTCATTTTGGATTGTGAGCTCATGGTGGGCTGTGGGAATCTGTGTGAGATCTGTCTCTGCCTCTGCCTGGAGTCCCAGCACCGTGCTGACGCCCGGGGCCAATTCATATCAACTGATAACGCTGGCACTTCCTGGACCACGCAGACTGTGTAGCCTAGCATTACAAGCTCTTGGGAGGCAAATTATATTTTCAGCTTGTAGACGCCAAAGATGGCTGCTATTGTAGCTCCTGTCTCACGGTTCTTCCAGAATTTCACTGCTCCCCACCAAGAAGTGGAATCTAATTTTTCTCTCCTTGAATCTGGGAGGGCTTTGGGCAGAAGCAACACCGTGACTTCAGATTCGAGGTCACCAAAGGAGATGCGAGCTCCACTTTGCAGTCCTGAGCTGCCACATAAGAAAGAGGACTCCTCAGGGCACCCGGGTGGCTCAGTTGGTTAAGGGTCAGATTGCGGCTCAGGCCATGACCTCATGGTTTGTGCATTCGACCCCGCCCTGGGCTCTCTCCTGTCAGGGCAGGGCCCACTTTGGATCCACTGACCCTCTCTCTCTGCCCCTCCCCTGCTCATTCTCTTTCACTCTCTCTAAATAAATAAATAAATAAACTTAAAAAAAAAAAAAAAAGAAAAGAAAAGAAAAAAGAGGAGCGCCTGGGTGGCTCAGTGGGTTAAGCATTTAGCTTTGGCTCGGGTCATGATCTCACAGTTCATGGGTTCGAGCTCCGCATCGGGCTCTGTGCTGACAGCTTGGAGCCTGGAGCCTGCTTCGGGTTCTGTGTCTCCCTCTCTCTCTGCACCTCACCCACTTGCTCTCTGTCTCTCAAAAATAAATAAACATTGGGGCGCCTGGGTGGCTTAGTCGGTTAAGCGTCTGACTTTTGCTTAGGTCATGATCTGCGGTTCGTGGGTTCGGGCCCCGCGTCGGGCTCTGTGCTGACTGCCAGCTCAGAGACTGGAGCCTGTTTCAGTCTGTGATTCCCTCTCTCTCTGACCCTCCCCTGCTCACGCAGTCTCTCTCTCTCTCTCTCTCCTAGAAATAAATAAAACATTAAAAAATTTAAAAAAATAAATAAATAAATAAACATTAAAAAAAATTAAAAAGAAAAAAAAGAAAAGAAAGCTGAGGCCACCATACTGTAGGGAAGCCCAAGCCACTCCACATGGAAGCTGTCCGGCCAGCGGCCCCAGTGGAGGCTCAGCCAACAATCGACCGCGAGGCATGTGAGTGGATGAATCTCAAAAGCTTCCACCTTGCAGCGTTCAGGATATCCGAGGTGAGTTCCCAGACTTCACAGAGTAGCAATAAGCCATCCCTGTCATGTCCTGTCTGGACTCCTGACCCCAAACAGAGTTCATAAAAGGCAATAAAATAGCTGTTGTATTCCACTAAGTTTTCTTTTAGCCACTACTAACTTTTGAGGGGTTATTTGGTATTTTCACTCAGCGATAGTAACTGGGAAACATGGCGGCGGCGGCCTCATGTTGGGGGGCAGGGGTGGAGGGGAGGCTGGCCTTTTCAAAGACTCAGGTCTAAGGATGAACTAGGTAGGTGAGTTCCCATCTTATCTTCATTTGCCAGTGGGCCTAGTTTGTCCAGTCCCTGCTGGTACTCATTTTTGTGAATAAAGTTTTATTGGCACACACAGTCATGTGTTTATGTGTCATCTATGGCTGCTTTCGTGCTGTAACACAATAGAATTGCGTAGCTGTGACAGAAATCGTATGGCTCCCAAAACCGAGGATGTTTATCATCTAGCCCCTTACAAAATACGTTATGTACAAGGCATTGTGCTGTGAGGGAAAACCATCAGCGCTGCTGTTTACTGAGGGCCTCACTATACCCTGGACACAGGGAGAGACCAAGGAATGATTGTTTCTACTTACGAGGGGTCTGTGTCTCAATCGTCACATATATATTTTGATTTTAACCCTTCAATGAACCCTGCAAGGGAGGTATGATTATCACCATATTACAAGTGAGGAGGCCCAGTGAGAAAAAGCAACTTACCCAGGATCACCCATATATAAAGTACAGAGTTAGGGGCACCTGGGTGGCTCAGTCGGTTAAGCGCCCGACTTCAGCTCAGGTCATGATCTCACAGCTCATGGGTTCGGGCCCCACATCGGGCTCTGTGCTGACAGCTAGCTCAGAGCCTGGAGCCTTTTTCCAGTTCTGTATCTCCCTCTCTCTCTCTAACCCTCCCCTGCTCACGCTGTCTCTCTCTCTCTCTCTCAGAAATAAATAAAATATTTTTAAAAAATTAAAAATTAAATAAAAATTAAAAAAATAAAGTGCAGAATTAGGATTTGCGCCCAGGACCATTTCTTCCCCAGGGCTGAGGATTTGCTCCTCATCCTCCTGGCACTGGGAACGGCCCTCAGCCCCTGCCCAGGCCTAAGCACTTCCTGTAACAGCCTCATGAGGTGGAGAATGTCCTCAAGCCCATTTGACAGATGGGGAGAATTGAACTACAGAGAACAGCCCTGTAGCTTTTTTTTTTTTTTTTTTTTACTTGTTTGTTCTTTTTCACCAAGTCACCTATCACCCCTGCACCCCCGGTTAAAAGCAATCTAACATTCCTACTAATTCCATACCTACTAATTGTTTTGCCCAGCCTGTCTGTTCCTCCCACCCCCACCCCTGCTGTCCCCTGCACCCCTGCTCTCACCAGCATGTCCCGACAGCTGGACCCAAGGGTAGTGTTTTCGGAAGGAGACCACGAAGGGCGAATATTTCAGAACCGTCTTCAGTTTCTTCCATGGTTTGTTCTGTGTGAGGCAGAGCGGGGGTGGGGGGTCACTGCCGAGGTTGGGGAGGGCAGGGGGTGGGATGCGGCACAGGGTGGGGGCTGGGGGGGAGGCTGGTGGACCAGGGGGCTTTCTGGGATTGCTGCTCCCGAGCTCACTGGGGTGAGCGAAGCCCACTGCTTCAGCAATCATGAGATCCCCAAAGGCCTCGGCAAAGGTGGGGAAGAGTCTGCCCATTTCTCTCTGTCCCTGTCATCAATGTCTTACATACCTATGTCTCTCTGTCCTTCTCAAAGGAGTAAAAACAGGCCAGGTCACAGTACAGTAACAACGAACCCTCGAATCTCCCCCCCCACACACATGCACACACCCAACACTTGGAAACTTCACTTCTGTCCCGAAACCAAGTCAGACCCTCTGGAGAAAATGACAGAGACAGGAGTTGATGAATGGAGGCTGAACCACGGAGAAAGACGCAATTAGAAACAGATGACAAAGTGACAACAGAGACAGACCGATAGGGACAGAGGTAGAGACTGGGGCAGTCAGGAGAGCTGCTCACCAAACAGCTCCAGCCCATCCCCCCTTCTAGGGACATCCCCGCCATCTTGAACTTGGGTTACTGACTTGCTTTGGCCAGTAAAATGTGAGCAGAAGCGTTAAAGCCAGTACACGGCTCTCCATGTTCTTTTCCCTGATGTAGCGGTGGGGGGGGGGGGCGCGTGGAAAGAGAAGCATCCTTGGTCTGGGCCTGGAGGGAAGACCGCATAGAGCAGAGCCAGTCATCGACCAGTGGCCCATGGTGAAGCGGCAACGATAATAATAACCCTTTGTGGTTCCAAGTCACTAAGCTTGGAAGTTGTCTGTTACCACAGCAAGTCCTGACCTAGCCTGACTGATACGGTGACAAGCTGCCAAAAGACAAAGAAAGAAATAGAGAAAGGCAGAAAAGGAGACCCGGATACCAAGTCATGAGGGGGAAGAAAAAGATAAATCGAAGCAAAGAAAGAGAGAGAACAGGCAACAGAAACCCAATAGAGCGAACCGAAAACAAAGATTTCGTTGTAGCACGTCGACTTGATCAAGAGGCTCTTGAGGTTGGCTAGTGTCTGACTCACATGCTCGAGCACACGTGCAAACACATGAAGACATTCTCTGCTCCAGGCCTTTGGCAGGCCCTTGGGCAAGTTCTGGGAGAATGAGGGTCCTCCCCGGAGAAGGAAGCTGTGTGCCTCAAGCCCCCACTACCCTGGGGTCCAGGCCATGCTCTCTCCCACCTGCTCAGAGCCCGGCTACCCAGCAGACATCCGATCGACGGTGGGAAGTTCAAACAGAGGCAGGGTGTTGGACTATGGGATTCAGGAAGGGCTACTCCCTCCACCCTCCAGCTGCCAACCGTGGAGAGGAGGTGATTAATAAAGGTTCCTGTTTACTAAGTACCTGGAACATTCCAGACACAATGACAAAGACTCGGGTGAGCCATAACCTACTTGATCCTAAAAACATAAACCCAGGAGGGCTGTTGACTCCGGGTTACAAAGGAAACAGAGGCTCAGAGGGATGAAGTCACCTGCCTAAATCACACAGCACACCGCTGGGGTTCTAACTCTGAATCACTGCCCTGGGCTTACACACTACAGCCCTGGTGGGGTATAAACTCTGAAGGCGGGGATTATTGGGGTTGTCATGGTTACAACTGTGCCCTGCCCCCCCCCAGCCCATGACCTAAGCGCACAAGAGCTGCTCCAAAAGCATTGGTTGGATTGAAGGAAGTTAGTTGTAGCTATCTTTTTTTTCTTTTTCTTTTTTATCATAAGCAGATTCAGTATCTTGTGTCTTTCTTGGACCTGATGGTTAATCTGGACTTTCTCAGATGATTTCATGATGGTCTCATCTCCCATGTCCCCTCCTCCAGGAAGCCCTCTCTGATACCCCAGGCGTAGCCAATCACCTCCTGTGATCTTCCCAAAACACTAGGTATCTCCTATCCCAGCCCTGACCTCTCTGTACTGCGATGGACCTGTCTTCTCCACTGGCCTGGGAGCTCCATGGGGCTAATGTCTCAGTCACTGCTGTGTCCCCCACAAAGCCAACACAGGGCTGGACATATAACTGAGGCTCAGAGGCTGTCGGTGGTCTGATTAGGACAGGATGGATGTGTGAGAAGGAAGGAAGCCGGGAGGAAAGGAAGAAAGTCGTGGGATTTTAAGGTCAGATGGGATTTCCAGATTAAGCCAGAAGGAAGCAGGGGTTTGCTTTCTAGGTGGTGGGAAACAAGCGACCAAGTGGCGAGTAGAGGCAGAATGGTGGCAGGGTATTCGAGGAACAGTGTGCACTTTGGCCTCATTGCAGGGAAGGGGGGCTAGGAGGGGAGAAGGGAAGCTGAATGAGGGAAGCAGCCTGGAGACAGGAAGCTCTAAACACAGGACTGAACTTCTGATCGCTATCTGGAGGGCCCTGGGGAGCCATGGAAGGTGCTGAAAAGCAGGGCAAGTTCAAAAGTTGATCAGAGGTGGACCTTGGAAGCAGATCCTGGAAGGATAAAGAAAAACTGGAGACACAGAGACGTGGGAAGAAAGCACGTTAGGGACGGGTCCACCCAGACACCACAGAGCTCGAAATAACTGGGTTTTAAACACCGCCAGGACAGAGTTAGAGTCCTGGCTCTGACCCGGCTTGGCCAACCCTAAGCAAGTGACCTCACCTCTGTAAACCTGTTTCTTCGTCTATAAAATGGAGACAATAACAGCGCCCCAATCTCATGTGCTGCTCTAAAGGGTTGACACACACACAGCCCTTAGAAAAGAGCCTGGTATTCTATGGGTTTGAATCCCAGCTCTGTGTCTTCCAAAGTGTGTGACCTTGGATGAGTGTCATGACCTCATCTATAAAATGGGGATAATAGGGGCGCCTGGGTGGCTTAGTCGGTTAAGCGTCCAACTTTCGCTTAGGTCATGATCTCGCGGTTCGTGGGTTCGAGCCCCGCATCGGGCTCTGTGCTGACTGCCAGCTCAGAGCCTGGAGCCTGTTTCAGTCTGTGACTCCCTCTCTCTCTGACCCTCCCCTGCTCACGCTGTCTCTCTCTCTCTCTCTCTCTCAGAAATTAAAAAAAA